AAATATTTAACTTAAAAATAATGTAAGCACTTTGAGAAGTTGAGAAACAAATACAGATACCTGCATTTACAGCATCATCGAATGAATGTGAGCTGTTTCTGTATTTGTGCAGATCTTTAAGACACAGATCCTCAAATGTTCTTTCATAGCATAGTGTTTATTCAGTTCCACGTTCCTTTTTTTTTAATATTGCCCTGTATATATTTCGTGTCAAGATTATACTAACTTCAAAATGTTAACTTGGGAACTTTGTTTTGCTATTCTTGGAACAATTTACATGATCCATCCTATATATTTTGGTGGACATTGTTATTTTACTGCAGGAACAATATTAGCTACTGATTCAATTTAGTTTCTTGATAAAGTTGCACTAAGGGTTACTGAGTAAATTTTGGTCTAGTCTTATTGTTCATTGCATCTATGTCTTCAAAGTCATTTAAATAAAGCAGACATACATTTAAGTATATCTATATTTATTTTAAAATCTAGACTGCATAGATATAGCCCCCTTTCATTGTTAACCCTGTTCAAACATGCCATCCATCTTTTCTAATTGCTCTGTTTATTTGCCTGTTTATTTTATCCTAGGAACAAGCTTTTTGCTTTGTCAATCTGATCCAATGTATTTTCTAGGTCATTACTGTCTGCTTATATTTTTATTTCTTTGAACTTCTTTTGGATATCTTAAGCAAAAGCATTAGGTAACTAGCTTAAACTCACTTTTCCAATTTTGCACTATTTATGAAAAATACAAATTTTCTTTCTCTCTCTCACACACACACATAGAATTCCTCCATGACATATTAGTTTTCCTTGCTTTTATTTTGATTAGCTTTTTTGAGATAACAGATTTTTATTTTCCTCATACAGGGAATGGGCACTGCGAGTTATTTAAAAGAGCAGTTCCTGTATTTATAGGGATACAATAAAGCTTCATTTCAAAATAGAGGAAGATTTTTATTTGTCGATAGATCTTAATGTCAGAGAATTTTATTTATTTTGGAAACAGACAGATCCAGGAAGCAAGACAAGCAAACCAGGATAGGGGAGTGACAAAGAGAATTAAGGAGAATTTCCATCTATCCCAATGCTTAAAAATACACAGGGCTGTGCCAGGCCAAACAGGGGAATTGGGAACTCCATACAGTTTCCCAATCTGGATGGCAGTGTCCTAACTTCCTAGGCCATTATCTGCTACATTCAAGGTACAAATCAACAGGAAGTTGGCATTGGGGGCAGAGCTGGACACTGAATCCAGACACTCTGCCGCAGGATTTTGGTGACTCAAATGGGGACCTAACCACTAGATTACATGCTCACTTCAGTGAGATGATTTTTATATGATTTTTTTTTGCATATTCTATAGAGTTAAGAAATAAAATTACAATATCATTTCATCTCATCCTTATTTTTCTTTGTTGAGTGTATGTTGCTTGGATACACTGTATGAAATAGTATAGACCTAAGATTTTTCCATTTAAAGGGGCACAGGGCTCATATCCCAGTGTCCTTGAAACTGCTTACTGTCTCTGGTGGTAATGGCAGAAATGTCACAGCACTATAAATCTATTTGTTCATAATTAAGTAAAACCTGATTTGGTTTATAACCTAGGATTACATCACTCATAACATTGAATTTTCAAAAATGCACCTGTTGTTTTAGAGTCTTTGATAGGATTGTAGTAAATTAGGACATAAATTAATGTATGTTCACATAACATCATCTAAAAAATGATGCATTTTATTTTACTTTTTCCTTGTAGCCACCAAAGGAAAACACTACACAAGATGTTATTATGAAGAGCATGCATAGAACACAAATGCCCTGGGGTACGTTCCACATCCCCACTGAGTGTTTTCATAAGGTCTTGATTGTCAGGGGAACACCGGCTCTGGCTCTTGACTCTGGCTTCCTGCTAATATGCATCCTGTGAGGCAGCAGCAGTGAAGAGTCAAGTAATAAGATTCTGCTACAGGGAGAGGAGATGTGCGCTGAATTCCCGGCTCATCGCTCTGGCCTAAGTCCAGGACTGGCTGGTGTGAACATTTGTGGAACAAAAGTGAGCCTTCTGCCTTTATACACTATACGTATGTCTGTCAGTGTCTTCACCTGGTCCTCTCTAACCCAAATTTAAAAAAAAAAGCCAATTTATTTCTCAGTTGTATGTGTCTGTCAAATCCACTCTTGATTATCTGTGTGTCTTTATAAATAGTAAGATTAAGTACACTTTGAAAAGTAGAAATGATATGGAAAATATTGCTTCAATTATGCCTCAGATCATTTCCATCATTATTTATTTCTTTTCCTACAATAGTTTCAAAATTTTCTTCTCTCAAAACTTCTCTTTTTATTTTTAATTAAAGATTTATCACCTCTATTGGAAAGGCAGATTTACAGAGAGAAGAAGAGAAGAAAGACCCATCTGCTGGTTGACTCCACAAATGGCTTCAATGGCCAGAGCTGAGCCAATCCGTAGCCAGGAGCCAGGAGCTCTGTCCAGGTCTCCCATGTGACTCAAAGCTTTGGGCCAATTCCTGCTGCTTTCACAGGCAACAAGCAGAGAGCTGGTTGGCAAGTGAAGTAGCTGGGACACCAATAGGCACCCATACAGGATCCCAATGTTTGCAGGAGGAGAATTAGCCAACTGAGCCATCATACCAGGCCCCACATTCTATTGCATTTTGCTCACGGTGATTATAATTATTGTTTCATTGCTTGTTAAATGGGTGTTTTGTTTCCTCCCTGTAAATGCTCTGCTTCTTTGTATTTTCTAATTTATTTAGGCCATTTTTTACTTGTTTGTTGCGTTACAATTAAATAAGCAGAGAACCATTCTCTATTGCTATCATTGAAGTCTAAACTAGATATGGAGTAATAAATTTAATCTCACCCTTTTATGTTTACATCCATTTCCAACAACAATAGCAGATCTGATATATAGTGTATGCTAGTCCTGTTGAGGTAATGGTTCAACTTAATATTTGGCAACTATATTTCCTATCTGGCAGGAAAGAAATATTTTATAATGATCTCTAAAAAACTAAAGCTTTCTTTTTTTTAAATATTTACTTATTTTTATTGGAAAGGCAGATATACAAAGAGGAGGAGAGACAGAGAGGAAGATCTTCTGTCTGATGGCTCACTCCCTAAGTGAGTGCAATGGCCTGTGCTGAGCCAATCCGAAGCCAGGATTCAGGAGCTCTTCTGGGTCTTGCAAAGCTTTGGGCCGTCCTCGACTGCTTTCCCAGGCCACAAGCAGGGAGCTGGATGGGAAGTGGGGCGCCCAGGATTAGAATCAGTGACCATATGGGATCCTGGTGCGTTCAAGATCAGGACTTTAACTACTACACTATCGCGCCAGGCCCTAAAGTGTTTCTTTATTCAACTGATGAAACATAAGATCCAAAAATATCCTGAAAAAAAGCTATCTTTGTATTTTCTGTAGTCATTTCATAAATTAGTCATTCTCTTTAGCAGCTATCTTACAATTTTTTAGACATTAAATATTTTTACAAGGTTTGTGGAAACAGGAAAAAAAATAATCATAACATGGGACATGTTATAATGCTTCACCAAGCCTGATGAATCATGGTGAGCACTGGTGGTAAGGAGAAATAAATGTACATTTCACTGTGGCATAAAACAAGTGTTTCTAAGCATAATGTAGTAATATTAGATGTGGGTAAAAATAAACAATTATTAATCTAAAATATTAGAAGTAACTTATAATGAAACAATATCAAGATTTTCTTTGGTGGGCCAGATGCAATGACTCATAGGGCAAGTCTTCACCTGGCATGCACCAGGATCCCATATTGGTACCAGTTTGTGTCCCAGCTACTCCAATTCCCAACCGGCTGTCTGCTTGTGGCCTAGGAAAGCAGTAGAGGATTGTCCAAGCCTGCGCACCCTTCATCCATGTGGGAGACCCAGAAGAGGCTCCTGGCTTCAAATTGGCTCAGCTCCGGTCACTGTGGCCATTTGGGGAGTGAACCAGCAGATGGAAGATTCTTTTCTCTGTATCTCCTTCCCGCTCTAAATCTGCCTTTCCAAAACAAATAAATAAATCTTCAAAGAGAAACGATTTTCTTTGGTGCAAAATATTAATCTAGTTATAAAAGATAACAATTATAATAAAATTAATTCATCAATTCCCTCAATCATAAAATCTTTTTGCCAGGCACCATTAGATATTGAAATTAACATGTAATAAAGCATAGGGTAGATGAAAACGGTGAATTTAGAAATTAGGAATTTTAAAATGCAAAGCTATCTGACGAATATAGGTTTAAAAAAAAAACCCTTAGTTTAGATGTTAAAATTAAATTCAAATTGAAAGGATAATGGGGGTCCAGTATTGTGGTGTAGATAATGAGGTGGCTGCCTTCAAAAGTAGCATCCAGTACGGCCACATGTTCATGTCTGTTGCTCCATTTCTGAACCAACTCTCTGCTAATGCTCCTGGAAAGGCACAGATGACCCAAGAGATTGGGCCCTTGCCCCAAGTGGAAAACACAGATAAAGCTTCTGTCTCTGAGATCCCTGAAAGCATTTTTGTTCAAGACCAACACAAAGAAAATATTTAACTCTATTGTTTATGTATATTTAATTCATGGACAAATGTTCACTCACTCCCCTTCCCCTTGAATTCTGAAGTCTTTGGTAGATTCTATGAGAAGCAAAAGGAGTAACTGTTGAAACTGAACCCTTTAAATTCTACAGTGCTATGAGATGTTAAGGACAGTGGGTAATATTATTAAGGTTTACTCACAATTTGTTTGATCAGTGACTCAGAAAAGAGTTTTGTGATTATAGATTATAGAATATTGAGCATTTTCTTTGGGTTAAATTTTAAAAGGGTATTCAAAAATAATTCAAAGTGACTCTTTTGATTTATTGGCATTTTCCAGAGCTCATATGAATCTGCAAAGTTTAATTTAGCAACTTGTTCAGAGAGGTTGACCTCCATTCTCAGTACGTGATGCAGTTTGTTTCTTACCAGTGCTGCAGCTTCCTGTGCAAGCTCTTTGGCTTCTTTAGCAACTTTCTCAGCCTCATCAATGTAGTCCTTGATATTGCTGTACGCTTTGAAGGCTGCAGTGGCATTGAAGGAGATGTTTTTAGCCTCATCGAGGATCCTGTTGGGGAAGTCAAAGTAGTTACTATGTAAAGACAGAATATCGAAGTCATGACAAAAATAGATCCCAAATGACCATGTCAACATGCCTGTGATAATTCCAAATCACACTGAAATACCAACTTTATCTATTTTGCTGTTGGAACTCAAATTAACATTCCTAAATAACTCTTCTAGAAAATTCTAGCAGCATACATTTAATGCCCACAACATCCTCAAAACCCCTTTCATCCAAGTGTATCAAGTAGGTATGTTCAGTGGAAAAAATCCTCTGCAATATTTGTGATGTATACTATTGGTTTTGGAACACTTGTATCACATGACTGGAATCAACCTCCCAGAATATCCTGGGGTGGTACACTTTTTATAGCAAAGACACATGACTCTCAGATGGTTGAGTGGCTTATTTCTGCTACATGACCAATACTTAATTAAGGACTTGAAGCACAGATCACTGATGCCTGGCTTACTGTGGAATCTGTCACCTTTAATTCTACCTTTGTAAGTTGGTTATAAAATAGTTTGTCTCAGGGTATTTAAGAACTTCTTTTGTATCAACGAGTATTAAATACATAGCTTTGTGTATAAAACATGTTAAATATAGATTTATTTAGGAAAATCATTACTGGAACTAGTAGTAACTGTCTGCAGTATGATGGGTCCAGAAAATACAGAGGAAGCATGGTACTCATACTTACAAAGCTATTAAAAGGTAAAATACAGCTTTACTTCCTGCCCCCTTTTCCATAAACTATGGAGCAATCCCAGTTACAGCAAGCTGTTATTTGACAGGGAGATTCGAATGTCTTACCACAGTTTGCAATGGCCATATGAATTTAAACTATACATGAGGATACTTTATGAAAAACAACCCTTTAAATAATATTTTTGAGTTATATTAGAAATGTGATATTGAAATTTGAAATAGTTTGTGTGTTTATATATTAGTATTTAAAATGCTAATAAAGCAATTGCTATCCTTTCCAATAAAGAACGGAAACTAATTTTTCTAAGTGTATCCCTAGGAATATGTTAGTTTCCTACCTCGCCATATTTTAATCCAAAGTTAATTTGGACTTTTGATGCTGATCCCATAGATTTTCCAAAACCCTCCTAATCAGGCTTTTTTACAGAGAAGCCATGAAACTCATGTATTCATAATTACAATTAATATCTGGAAATAACTCCCCACATTTCTGCCTGTGCAAACTTTGGGACAAGCATCAAGACACATAGACATTTCCAATGACAAAAGACATACCCATCAAGGATGGCAGATGAGTCGTTCAACTGGGCTGCATGACTCTCGGCCTGGGACACCTTATCAGCAAGATTCTTGTCCTTGATTTCCTGGGAGAGTTCATCTACTTTATTTGTGAGCTCCTCAGACATTGGAGGCAATTTGGTTTGAATGTCTTCAACATACTGATATATGAAAAAGAGAGGGCATTTTAAACAATTCCATCCAAGGCTCTACTAATTTTTCTATCAGACATAATTTCACACACTTAGTGTTTCATGAAATTTCAAATTTATTATCATAAAAAGAGAATAAAACATATCACCTAATGAATGATACTAGGAACTTTATGAAACCAACATATACCAAGAAGAAACTATTTTTTAAAATGTTAATGGATTGGAATAAATGGACAAATGATAATCATTATGATCTTATCACATTAACATTTTTATTACCATATATCACTCTGTGTAATGTTCTAGAAGCATGTTAACAGTATTTTTAAATTAACATTTCTCAAATGAGAATTAGAACAATGTGATGTTCTAATTGTTTTCAACAGAAATATATGGTCACAAAATAATGCCAACTAATTTCAAATAAGGAAATACTGACATTTGCTTGTGATATGGAATATTTGATTGATTTCTTCTTTGGGCGAGCCTATGCCATAATGGCTTATGTTAACCTAGGGTTTGTCAAATACTCACTTCTATAACTGAGTTGATTTCATCTGCAAGTTGGCTGGCTTCATTGAGGATGTCATTACTCTCTTTTAAAGTGTTCTCAATTTGTCGTTTACCACTCTCAACAGCCTCCTTCTTTTTCTGAAATACAGGAGGGACAAAACATCAAAATATCATTTGAGTAAAATCTTTCCAGTTCTGTATTCTTTACATTCCTGAGCTGTCTGAATAAAATTTTCCCATTGACTTTATTTCAGGTTGACAGTCTGGCTAGATGAGAATGATGTTAAGTACTAAAAGTTATTCTATTTAGAGATCTGCACAGGTAATTTCACTTTTCTATTGTGAAAAAGTGATCTAAGTGAAGAAAAGTCATAGGGCAGCAGGTGAGGAATTGAACTCATTTTTAAAACAAAGTGGAATATCTCTTTTAACTAAAATTTAAGTGCTGAGCTATATTGCATGCTGAAATACACAGGAATTACATATTGAGTTCCAGAATCTATAAACAAATGAGTAGTTCATGAATATAAATAGAAGTTTATCCTACAGAAGTTCTATGAGAGTCAAAGAAGTGGGAGTTTTATGAAAATTTAGATGAAGTGTTTTTCAAGAAAAAGGAAAAAAAATCTCCCAGGGAAGAGTAAGCAGAATGGACTGCTTTTCCAGGAGGGAGCAGACAACGTCATTGAAACTCATAGCTTCGTTCAAAACTCTACGAATTCATTCCTGGTCTCACCACAATATTAAAGCTGTGTTTTCTATCACTGGGCATGTAAAACCCTGAAGTTTTTAATTGAATTAATAAATGAAAAGAAAGCGCATCAATGGATGTGTCCCTCCACTACTCCATTGCTGATTATTTCAGGGAATATTCTGACATGTAACTCTCTTTTCACAGACAACTAAGGTAGGGACATCTCCTAAATCTTTCATTTTAATGTCATATTTTTCAAGGGTTTGAAGTTCTTTTAAAACACAGCCAATTTTAGCCCTTAGCTGCTACATGAAGTGATTAAAAAGTATATCATGTATAAGAATTCCAAGATTATTTCCTCTAATAGGGCTTGTTCTTATTAATGAATCAAGATAACTTAAAATGTGGCACCAAGGGAAGAGAGAATATGTGTGTTAAGTGAAGTTATAACTGTTTTGATTTCAAGAAAGTAATGAGACTCCTTTGTAAAGTTCCAATGAAATTACATCAAGGAAGGAGGCAATTGTCATGCAAAGATCAAAACTGCTCTTCATCACAATAAAATAGGAATGATGATTGAAAGATTAAAAGGATTTTAGAAGTGGCTAATTTCAGATTGGACATTGATGGAATCTAGCTTTGAAACAAGGAGTGACACTGATTTGGAGGTACCAAACATGAACAAATGTTTAAAGAAAACTTTTATATAGGCTTAACGTTTTCTTTTTCTTAAGCATTTAATTATAATAATCATACAACATTTATACTACATATACTATATAGTATATGTACGATATAAGAAGAGCATGAGTACACAATTACTTCGTCATTAAAATCACTGGTAATTAACACCAAATTAAGAGAAAAACAATACTTGTACCTCAAGCGTCCTCACTACTTTTTATTGGGAAAATAGTCTGTTTTCCCTTTGTGGAAGATTCTGTTACAGGCTCTGTGGCTATAGTCTGGAAGATCTGCTTTTTTGGATTATTTGAAAGAGGGAGAAGCTGAATAGGGAATGAATGCATCATACATTTTTTTTAAGTAACGATAAATGAATGCTAAAAAATAAATAGAGGGAATGTATGTATAATGTTTTCGCATGTGAAACACTTGAAACAGGGCTTTGAAGTGATCTGAAGAAGAAAGAGTAAGGCCCATGTACAGATTTCCTCTTCAAAATATGCCACGAGCCTTGTTGTTCATCATTCTGTTTGAATATCAAGGTTGACGACATTTGTATTCCTGGCTTCTAATTAATTTGTCTTTTTTCATTCCCAAGCTCTTTGAGTTGAACATCTTTTCTATTTTGTGAGTGTGCAGGAAGATGAGCAACAAATGTTCAGGATCGTGCAATAGCAAACTTCCTGTGTATTCTGCATGTAGCAACCAACTCTCTTTGTAGTTCCTCTCCAGGCAAGCTCACATGGTAGACACTGGGACAAATGGTTTCACATGCGTCCTTTGCTTCGGCGAATTGTTCATTGCTACCTTTTCAGTCTATCAGATCCCTCACTGCCTTCTGACTCATCGTCATCACTGAAAATGCCTGTTTACTGCTATTAGGTGACATTGAATAATCGCATTTGAATTCCATTTCTGGAGCCATTTTATGCTAAAAAAAACTTCAGGATTTGAACAGGTGTGGTTGTCCCATCTGATCTATCCTAGAACCCTGAAAATACCACACCTCTGTTTTTGTCATAATGTTGGGCTTCCCTTTAATCAATTTCTTCCAATTTCTGGTTTGATGTAGTCATTTTGTGAGTCTTTCACCAACTCTCCAGATATTTACTATCTCAGCATTAGATACAGGAATCATTTCTCTTCAACCTAAAACAACCTGGTTAGCAACAGTACCTTGATATGGGCGATACCTGACCAACATTTGCATATCATCCCACCAGCTTTCCTAATGTAGTGTTTCTAATTTCCAAAGTAAAACCAATACTCCAATTTACAAAAAAAAAGAAAAAAGCACTCATAAATTTCCACAAACCCATATTTTAGTCCTCAAGTATAATATCTAAATTTCTTTATATAGTTTGCAGGGTAAAACCAAGTCCTTTTGGGCCCGGCACGATGGCGCAAGTGGTTAAGGTCCTCGCCTACCACGCCCGGGATCCCATATGGGCGCCAGTTCTATCCCGGCAGCCCCGCTTCCCTTCCAGCTCCCTGCCTGTGGCCTGGGAAGGCAGACGAGGACAGCCCAAAGCTTTGGGAACCTGCACCTGCGTGGGAGACCCAGAAGAGGCTCCTGGCTTCGGGATCGGCATAGTATCGGCCATTGCGCTCACTTGGGGAGTGAATCATCGGATGGAAGATCTTCCTCTCTGTCTCTCCTCTCTGTATATCCGCCTTTCCAATGAAAAAATAATAAAAATAAATCTTTAAAAAAAAAAACCAAGTCCTTTAGTCCATTGCATCGCAGTTCTGTGAAAACCCAGGCTCTGGACCCTCTGATTGTCCCTTTGGCTGCTCATTGATGTGCAGTCTTCATTCCACTACTATCAACCCTTTGAATTTTCTCCAATTATCTTCTTTTTCTACATGCTTTTGCATATATATTTTTCTTATATCTGAAATGCTCTTTCTTTTCTATTAATTAGTGTTTCCCCTACTAGACCTAGCATCAGGGCTTGTATTAAGCCCTTCCAAAGTCCCAGCAGATGTTTGGAGCTCCTCTTTTGCGTCTCCAGTGTGTTAATTCCTACAGCACACAGAGTGGCTTCTGTGTGTACATTTTTCACTAAACATGAAGCATTTGAAGCTATCAGACATGCTGTTTTGTACATTATATCGAGGATTGTAAAGTGTATGTCATGGTAAGAGTTCAACCTAAACACTCAAATTCAGGTACAGGTGCTGATCTTCAAGTTTATACCTGATGCACTGGAGAGATTTTAACACACAGATTGCTGGGCCCCAGTCTCAGGGTTGTGGAGTTAACAGACCTGGGGTAGGGATTGAGACTTGGCATTTAGCAAGTTTTCAGATGACACTGAGGGTCTTGACTAAGAAGCAAGTGATATGAAGTCGGATACATTCATTTCTTAGGTTTAGCAACTTCAATTTTTATTTTTTTCAAAAGGCTGGGAACTCAGGCCCGGCGGTGTGGCCTAGCAGCTAAAGTCCTTGCCTTGAACGCCCTGGGATCCCAAATGGACGCTGGTTCTAATCCCAGCAGCCCTGCTTCTCATCCAGCTCCCTGCTTGTGGCCTGGGAAAGCAGTCGAGGACGGCCCAAAGCTTTGGGACCCTGCACCCACGTGGGAGACCCAGAAGAGGCTCCTGGCTTCGGATCGGCATAGCATCGGCCGTTGCACTCACTTGGGGAGTGAATCATCGGAGGGAAGATGTTCCTCTCTGTCTCTCTTCCTCTCTGTATATCTGACTTTCCAATACATAAATAAATCTTAAAAAAAAAAGGCTGGAAACTCAATTCAAGTCTCCCATTTGGGTGGCAGGACTTCAAACACCTGAGCCACAGATCTGCTGCCTCTCAGGATGAGCAATAGCAGAATGTTGGATTGGAAGAGGAGTAGCTGGGACTTGAACTAAGCACTCAATATGAGAAGAGGACACACCAAGTGGTGACTCCACTTGCTGCAGTGAACTCCTACCCCTGAATATAATGTGTTTAATAAAACTCACATGCTTGCATCCCTAATATATATATTATATATTATATTATATATTATGTATTATATATTATATATTATATATACTTTTAAAAAAGATTTATTGCAAAGTCAGATATACCGATAGGGGGAAAGACAGAGAGGAAGATCTTCAGTCCATTGAGTCACTCCTCAAGTGGCCACAATGGTCGGTGCTGTGCCAATCCAAAGCCAGGAGCCAGGAACTTCTTTCCGGATCTCCCATTTGGATACAGGGTTGCAAGGCTTTGGGTTGTCCTCAATTGCCTTCCCAGACCACAAGCAGGGAGCTAGATGGGGAAAATTCTTTATATGATCTTTTTGTGTACAGGTACAATGGAATCATCAGATGCTTCAGTTGTTCTCAATCCTTGGTGGGAATTAATTAACCCAGTCTTTGGACACAGATTGTGGGTCACACCCCAGAAAAGCCTATGCAGACCTTGGAAGGAAGGAAACACATGGGATCTGTTTAACAAAACAGCTTGTCTGAAATCAGAATCAGTGGACTCAAACAATCTTAATTTGTGCCTATTCATGTTAGATTAGTGAGTTTATTAGATGCAATATATCTTTCAAATGACCCTCTAGTTAAGGTTGGCTTATAAAATGAGAATATAGAGAGGACTACTTAGAACTTAGCATTGAATAAACAAGCTTCTGGCATCTGCAGGGGCACCCAAAAATGATGGCTCCTGGTTTCAAACATCACAAAAAGGAAGCAGTGGCTGGAAGCACCATTTACTGGGTGACTATAACTCTTCTTGAAATACTTCTCAAATGCTCATTACATTTTCCACACAGGTAATTTTAATTTCTTAAACTGTCGCCATAAAATGGAGTGGAGCACCTCCAGGTAAGTTACACAACTGATGCAGAGGAGGATGAATCACACTGCAGCCTGGAATGGGACAGCAGCTCAGGTTCCTGCCTCTCCAGATGGTGCTTTTTCTTGAATATTACTGGCATGTCAGAAGGTTCCGAATTGGTTCAGATTAGATACATTAGTTAGGACAAAAGTGAGCCTTGTCAGGTTATTACCAGAATGACAAGGCTAAATTGCAGAAGAGCAATGTGGAATTTAAAAGCAAAAAACAAAACAAAACAAACAAAAAACATTTAATGCATCCTTCGCTACTTATTCAAAGGAAAATGAAAATAAATGGTGAAACAGAAAAATCCTAACTTATTCTATCCAACTGCCATTATCATTCAACAATCATTTTTAGAGCATTCTATAGAGCAAAGTGCCACCACTGAAGATGAAATTATATGTTAGAGGAGAATATAGGTTTGTCACTCTTTTTGCACCTGCTGGAGTCAGACCCTTTGAAAAAAGCAAAGGAAGGTTAGTCTCTATGGATAAAGTTCTTTAAATGCCAATTCAGGCATGTGCCACCGGAAGTGATGAGTTTAGTCATAGTCCATACATGCTTAGATTGAGAAGGAAGTGACAAGAAGTGAAAGGGAAATAAAAAAAACCTCCCATCTACTGGTTCCTTTTCCATATGGTAGGGACACAACAACCTGCTCCCTCGCAGGGTGTGCATTAACAGGAAGCCTGAACCAGAGGCACAGCTGGATCTGAAAGCCTGAACCAGAGGCACAGCTGGATCTGAAAGCCAGGCAGTCCAACAGGAGATTCAGGTAGCCCCATTGTGGCACAAAACCCCTTTTCCTTCCCGTAAGTTCTTAATAGGAAGTAACTCCAGTCCATGGCAGAAAGGAAGGCAAAATAAACCAGTCTTGATCCATCCACATTGGTCTCTTTTGAAATGTCATCTACATATTACACATTGCACAGAAAAAGGGACTAACATTTTCTCAGAGCTCACCTTTCAATTTCTCATGAATTCAGATGTCACTTCAACACATGGAGAACTTTTATGGTTTTTAGCAGCCAGATTATGAACACATTAGTGGATTGTGCTAGAGGAATTGCAAAATCACGTGCTAACTCTTACAGATGACCAAGATATACAGTAATACAGGCCATTCATTACAGAGTTGGGGCATCTATACTTTAAAGGCAGTATTGACATAGCTGGGAATTCTAGTTAGTGGCACAGCTATCATTGAAATCAGTCTTCTGACTCCCAGCAGTGCGCATTTTTCCCCATTGTATTTTCTTAAGAAAATAATCAATACTTTAAGTGACTTACATTTTATTTGATTCTTGTATTAAAGTAATTAAAAACCATGCCTCCTCAAATGAGTATTCTTTATTCTCATAATTCTCCCAAGTTTCTATCCTTGACCTTTGAAATTGTACATCCACTTGACCTTTCCAGTTGCCCCCAGTATGGCCACTGACCCCTACTCCCCAAGCCTATGGTGAACGTTCACCCAGGGCTCACCTCCAAAGCAGTCATGTTTCTTTGGTTTGCAGTAGATAAGCGATCAGCTTCTCTGATTTTATTGGTGGCTTCTGCTAGGAGCTCCCAAGCATCATCAACTTTGTTTTTGTAATCTGCCAGTGTCTCACGAAGGTCCTTCTCCATTTTTTCATTCTTCCCCCGGGCTTCTGCCAACAGCTTGTTCACTTTCTGCAGGAGGGACTCTGCAGCCCTGGAACCACCCAAACACAGGCTGTAAACCCATGCCATAGCTGTGTGATTATTTACTTTGTAAGCAGTCACTAATACGTGAAGAATGAAAACATAAGAATTATTCAGGCACAGTTACTATGTACTAAGTGAAATGGAAAAAAAAATGTTCCTGACAGTGGCAAGATTACTTATCATCAAAATTAAACTGAAATGTCACATTTTTTTAAGTGAGATTATCTTTTCCACTGGAGTCTCCTATGCTACACTCTACTCACTGATGAAATCAGTTTTATGATTCATTTCGCAAACCAGAACAAAGTAAAGCTTGTGTTTCATCATCATGAGACATTCTCTCTATTACTTTGAATGGACAGAAAGAAAATTGATGCCTGCTCAGGAACAGCAAACAGAACTCTGTGTAATTGCTGTGCTAGTGAAATGCTGTCATTTTGACCTAATTTTCCATTTTTTCTTCTGAGTGATTCTTGCTTATTATACCTACATTGCTTAAGGAATGACACCTGAGTTCTTAACAGGGCTACATATTTGAGAAGCAGTGATTCAACAGCTAGAATGTATCAACCTCCCCCATGGGCTTTTTAACACATAGAGTGCTATCACATATCCTCAAAGTTCCCCCATTCAGTACGTTCAGGAAGGAGCCTAACAATTATATTCCTGAAAGTTCTCAAATATGGGAGATGGTTAGTTGTGGCACAGCAGTTTGAGACACTGCCTGTGATAGGAGCACCCCATACTGAGGCACTGCTTTGAATCCTGGCTGCTCCATCTGTGATCCCATTTACTAGCTATTATGCCTGGGAAGACAGAAGAGGACTCAGTTCTTGGGCCCCTGCCATACTCATGGGAGACCTGGATGGAATTTCTGGTTCCAGGTTGTGGCCTGCCCTAGCTGTTGCGATCACTTTGAGAGTGAATCAGTAGCTGGATGAATCTCTTTTTCTTTATTTTCTCCCTCATGTCTCTGTCGTTCTGCCTTTCAAGTAAATAAATCCTTTGTTCCCTCCACAAATGACTGAAGTTGCCAAATGAGTGTTTCAGTCAGTAGGCTTAGCTTCTTTTCAAGTCCCCAAAATGGTTACACGGGTACAAGGATTTGAGCCACCCTCCACTGTTTTCCAGGCAAGTGGAGCAGCTCAAATAGTAACTTATGCTATTATGGGATGCTTGACACTTCAAGTAGAAAATTAGCCTGTTTCATCACTGCACTGGCACTCAGGAAAATAAATCTTTAAAGTTGAAAATCTCAGATGTTTGTCACATTGCTGGCGTATGATGTTATTTAATTACTAATAAGATCATCATGTTTAACTTAGCTCTAAATGTATAAATGTATTGATTTGATTGGTTGTGAGATCACTACAATCCCACTGTCATTGAAAATATCATTATTACCTTTCCCAAACCTCAAATTCCCAACCATTATTTGAAAATACTGGATATTTCCCCCTTGATTCTTCAGCATTTTGTAAGATGACTAAGTGTACAGGATGACCTGGGAAGGTCATTACTGTATTTATCTGAAAGAGCTGTTGTTAAAAGAAAAGGACACTGGGATTCTAAAATGTTCTGTTACAGGCAATGTACAAAACAAATCCATTGGTCTGTTTATAGAAAGGATCATAAAAAGCTTTTAATTCATTTAACGTCAAGGTGAAGCATGAATAGGAACCAAATGAAAGAGCAAAAAACATTCTTCAGCACAGAAAAACAAAGTTTTTTTCTGCTCCTGTGTGTAAAGGAGGTGTAGATATGAAAGTGTCACAGAGCACGTACTCACACCAACTCATCTTCAGCAACTTCCTTCTGCGTTTCTAGATTTTTCCTCCTCAGTTCTTTCATCATGTGATCAATCTCCTTCTGAAGTTCTGGCAAATGTCTCTCAAAGCCCTTGTCTTGAGTTCCTAGAGTTTCATTAAGCTTTACAGCTTTTTCATTTACAGCTGCAGGGGGTAAGACAAATTGTGTAAATCAGTAAACCAAAATGGCACATGCAAAAATGACATTCAACATCTGCTCTTCACCACCATCCCCAGATGAAATGCGATTGGCCATGGGTGTTCCTGCTGGGAAAGAGAAAGCCAGTTAATACAGGGCCTGGAAACACACGGCGAAATGTGATATGACTGTCTGTATTATGTATCTTTTCCAGGGTATGGTAATTAAAACCTGGTGTTGCTACAAAGGAAGAAATACAAATGAAGAAGTAAGTTAAACCTCTTCAGGTAACAGGTAAACATGTGAATTGTAGCAGAACCCTAAGCAGCTGAAAACACAAGCTCCACACTGCAGATAAGACAGTCATAGTCAGTTAAAAAATACTGCGTATAGAAATACCATCAGCCAGGAGATCTCTGAAAATGAATGTGCCATGCATTTCCACACGGTTGTCTAGTGCTCATTTTTTTCTTTAGGCAGTAAGCAATGGAGCACTGATGCGGGGACAAGGGTCATAGTTTAGGCCTGAAAGGTACCTTCCAGCAGTTACATCCATCGTGAGAGTCCGTGTTTACTATGCATTAAATGGGGCTTCAAGCTGTGCTCCTTGGAATATTAGGATTCTCCAGGTGCTTCAGGTATTTTACAGATGTCTGTTCTGCCAGGAACTTGTTTTATAGGTGGTGTTCGGTGCAAAATTTCATTTGGAAAAAGAATTCTTATGTCAAATAAAAGTCTAAAAAACTGGTGAATTGAAACATTTATGCAGTCCTACTCCTAGCTTAAAGTTTCTTAAAGTATGTTCTATGGAGCATTCATTTAGTAAGTTGAAATCCAGTTACAAAGAGAGAGGAGCAGACGTGGGCCAAAGCTGGAACTCCTTCTGGGTCCTATTTTCTTTCCAGAATATACAGCAGACTGAAGCTGGGTAGAAAGCCAAGCAGGCAGGACTTGAACCAGTCACTCCGATTCTGAAACTTAATGTGAAGGTATTTGAAGGGATGGCCTGTGAGACTAGATGAGATCTTGAGGTGGGATTGAGATCAGCGTCCTTATGCAGAGGGAGTCCGAGACATCCCCTGTCCCTTTTACAGTGTAAAGTTATAGTGAGAGGGCAGCCATTGATGAAGCAGACAGGGACGCACATGAAGCAGATCTGTTCATCTTGTGCTTCTTCATCTCCAGACATGGGAGAAAGAAATTTCTGTTGTTTATAAGTCACGAAGGTTGCAGTAATTTTTGTTGTAGCGGTCACAATAGACTAAGACAGACAGCTATTCATTGCATAAAAATTTCAGTCACATAGCAACAAATAATGAAGTCATTCCTAGTACAGAAGAAATTACTGCCTGGATGTTATATTGTTGTAAGCCACTGAGGGCGGTCCTTAGTCCAGGGTCATATCTGGACATAAGCCGAGGACTCTTCCCAAGATCCCACCAGTATTTTCAGTGACATATCACATGCTAATAACCCATGTCTGATTTGTCATGGAAGTAGCATGATTATGAACTAATGATTGTGTCACCTGATCCAGCAGATCATGTGGGAAGCACGCCACAGTATTTCTGCTTCTAAGATTTTAAGAAAAGTGGTAGATTTGGTGGTGAGTTCGGTGTTGCCTGTCTTTACAGCTGATTTTAAACAACTGATAAATGCCACCTCCCAATTCTCAGGGCTCTTTTTACTTGATTATATGAATATATTGATGAGTTTTTCTAAGAGAAATCATTTCAAATGTCTTTAGCCTAGGCACTACTTTGTAAACAAAGAACATGAGCAAGAGCTCACTATGTTCATTGTGTTATATTATTAATGTTCTATTCTGCCAAGAATTTGGTGGAAAGAGAAAGATGTCTTACAGAAACAAAGGGAAAAGTAGTCTTGGAAGACATACCACTGCTTTTGAAAATTAAAAACTTTAGGGAAAACACAGAAAGTTGGTATTTGAAGATAGAAAATTTGCCTTCTGTGAAATGACATGTTAAGATGGAATCCATCATTTTCCATCAATTAAAACATTGGACCTTTTATAGCTTTATCATTTATGTATGTACATTTGTATGTATGTGTTAATATATATCTTGGAACACCTACGAGTATTTTTAGACAAAAAACATTTTAGACAAATGTTATTTACTCTAAAAAGGTATATATATCCCCTCTTTAGTATACATACAGAGTAACAACAAAATAAAAATTATTCCTCAGAAGACACAAAACTATTTTTCACATTAAATCTTTTTAAAAAAATTGATGAGTAAGTTTATAAAAAATGAGAGATATTGATCTGAGGAATACTGTGACCTGAGAAACACGATAGAAGGGAACCAAGCAGTTACTAAGGCCTGTTATGATTCTGGAAACAAACAATAATGAGTTTATGATGTCCCATTCATTAATTCTAACAATCCATGGAAGAAAATATAATTTATTCATGATCTAATCAGATCTCATACATAGCATCGTAGATATTACAAAATTATAGTGAGATAAAAATGCCTTCACTGAATAGAAGCTGATTATGTATAAAGAGACTACGACTGTTAAGGAGAAATAGGCCAAGTATTTTACTATGTAAATACAAAATTACCATGAAATAGACAAAGGTCAGTTTGCAGCATTCACTTTTGTTACAGCAATTTACTGCAATAAATAAGACGCTGAAGTTCTATTGATTATGATCCATTGTTTTAGTTTTGAGAGGGAGAAAAAAAAAGATGTGACAAGTCAAGTCACTTAAGCTTTTGGATTTACTTTCATTCTCCCTGGCTCAAATGGTTAATCCTCCCCTTGCAATTGCCCAAATCCCATATGGGTGCTGGTTTGTGTCACAGCTGTTCCACTTTCATCCAGGTTCCTGCTGTAGCCTGGAAAAGCAGTAGAGGGTGTCCCAAAGCACTGGGATTCTGCCCTTATGTGGCAGACCTAGAAGAAACTCCTGCTTCCTGGCTTCAGATCAGTTCAGCTCTGGCCATCGCCGCTTTTGGGGAGTGAATCACTGGATAGAAGATCTTTCTCTCAGTCTTACATTCTCTCTGTAAATCTGCCTTTCCAATATAAATAAATAAACCTTAAAGAAAAAGAAGAGGCCCATCTGGATGACACAATCGAACCATCAGAGTAATGCACTATTCAGGGAATGAGAGCCACCTTTGGTAAGAGGTAACAGCTTTTTGATGGTGACCGTGGATTTTGAATGTTAAAGTTTGTATTAAACCTTATTTCCTCTCTGTACCCAGAAGGGGAGATGTGAACTTTACAGACTGTACAATGCCCCCTAACACTTGTGAGTTGGGGAAATATTCCTATTAAACAAAGCGTAATTAAAATTGAGTGCCATAAAAGCAGGTGTTACATATCATTAGGCCTCAGTTTCCTAGTTTCCCTCCCTTAGAATAAACATTGTCTACAGAGACCAATGTTGCAGAGTAGCAAGTAAAGCTGCTGATTGAAAGAAAGGGCATGTGATATAAACATTGGTTCAAGTCCTGATTGTTCCATTTTGGATCCAGCTGCCTATTAATATGCCTGGGAAAACAACAGAAGATGCCACATGTTTGGGGCCCTGCCACCCATGTCGGAGACCTGGACGAAGTTCCTGGCTTCCAGCTTTGGTGGTGCTCAGCCCTAGCTGTTGAGGCAATCTGGTGAGTGATACAGTGGATGGAAGACCTTTTTCTCTCTCTTATTCTTCCCCTCTTCGTCCCTCTTTCTGTCTCTCCATCTATCTCCCCATCCCTGTCTGTAACTCTGGATTTCAAATACATTTTTAAAATGTCTGCTTTAAAGTATTTGCATTCTGTATTTCTGATAGTAAATCAACTTTCAGTGAACAAGCTGAATTCAGGGAGTCGTACAGCTGGCTCTACAAGTTTCTAGCTGTCAGGTGCATGATGCTATTTTCTTCTGCAATATATATAAGACCTAGGACACTGGTATTGTCCCAAGAGACTTCTTTTCAGAAAATTCCAGGTTTGGGACATAATTTCCATGTGCATGTGTATCCCAGCACCTCCCTTGCCCCACCCCATAGTGACTGGAGCCTAGTCAGCCATCATAAAATCTCCATGAAGAACACCGTATTGTCAATATCTTAAAGGATGGCCATGGACACCACGTTCAACCTGACATGGACACACGCTGGCTATATACCTCCACCTCTCTTCTGAACTTCAACCCCTAAGTGTCTTCACCCTTACCCTTTGAGAAGCCCAGGAACTAGAAGATAGGCCCTTGTTCCTTGCTCTGCGCTCTGCAGTAAATGCTCCCTATCTTCCACCAACCCAATTTCAGTGACTGGTTCTCTGCATGCTGGGTGAGTGGACCCAGTTTTCAGGTGACTACAGAAACTCCTCCAGCCAGCTTTTGGGGTATCATCTATTAAAATGTGTAACCATGAATAGGCACCTCCCTTTGACAGGAGGTGAAGAGCTAATGGTGAAGGAAAAACAGTAAGCAGATACTAGAACATGATAAAAGTAATATTAACCTTTGTTCTCATGGGCAGTGCATTTGATTTCAATGGAAGGAGCCCCAGGACAGGTTGCATTGTGATGAGTGTTTGAGATTTTAGATAAAAGGAAACAAAGTTTCTGGAATACTAACTAGTACCTTCAGAGTCCCACACAGTGTGAAGCCACCCAACACCCAGGGGGTTTTGGTGTTGCTCTTGCTGTTTTTGAGAAGTTAGGATATTTTCAAGTAACATCAATGAAAAATAGTATCTGGGGAAGAACACCCTCATCTGGATGGGTATCAGCCACCAGGCATCCACTGAGATATTCCTAGGAAATGTCACCTTTGTTTCAGACTGTGACACATGTGCTTCACATCAAGCCTCAGATTAAATCTCTGTTGCTACTTGCAGGGATAGATCTTCAGGACTTTTTGTTTCTTTGTGGCCTGGGAGGTATATGAATTACAGTGAAGATGAGCCTTGAAGGTCACGCCCCATCCTGATGCAGTTAGCTATGTCACAAAGCAAAGTATTGAAAATACAGAACACCGAGGAACAATGAAAATGTCTATTCTTAAGACGATTTTGTTTCTGATATTAGAGGATGTCAGCATTTTCTCTGAGTTGCTTAATATGGATTTTGGCACAGAGATGATTTTTCTGTGAATCCCAATCATATTGAGAGGTTCCATAAAGTTAAGCCTGGAGAATTTTGTGCTAGCGGTTATGTGTCTGGTAACGGTCTGATGGGGTACAGCCTGGTGATATCCCCCCAGAGCATTAGGCAGATGTAACTCCATTTTAAATCCTTGACTAAGTTTCAAGCATAGCTAATGGCAGTTATTTCTATGTAAACATGTTTGGTGGCTGACTGCCTTAAAGTATAGTCTAAATTTAAGTTGATTGGATTCAAAATGCACAATACCCAATCTGACTGGATTATTTACGATATGTGCCAATTAGAATGTGGTCCACTGATGGAACGGGTTGAGAAAAAAATCCCTAGTTGCCACATACCAATGGGAGCTTCAAAACCTCTGACTTCAGCCATGCAGCACAGTGGTTGCTGGAGTGTAGCGGGAGCTGCTGTCACCAAGCTGGGCTAATCAAGACTCCTACTTACACCCTACACTTGTGTCTGCTGTGACTTCTCTCACTCAATGTAACAAAGGCGCGCATCCAAATGGCAAGCAAATGGTGTTCTAATAAAAGCCAGTTCATTATAGACCACTTTGAGAAGTTAGAGTGCTGAATGCAATAAAACTGGTTTGCTTAGCGAAAAGTCTTAAAATAGTTGGAATATAAGCAAAAGCCAAGCAGAATTTGCCCACCAGTTAACCCTGAGAGTCATTTCTCAAGAACTGTCTGCTAGTGTACACTTGTAATCATTAATTCGCAGAAGAATGTTATTAATTCCACACAGCTGGTTATAGGTTGAAGCAGATATTATACTAAATGTGTTAGTTAAAATACTTTTTAAAATTTGAATTTGGAAATGTTGTCAGTGACAAGAGAAGTTCCAGGCAAATGTAATCTATTTTTGTGTTTTTATTTTGCTAGAAATAATAGTAAGGTAAGAATTTTCCAATACCTTCTGCATCCCTGACCAGCTCCTGGATGAATTCTTCCAAAGACTTGACTCTGGCATTGGTCCTTTCAGCATCCTGTCCAGTTTGCTCGCCATCTGCGGTTACTTTGGTAGCCTAATGGTTCAAATTTTGGAAAATCATAATTAATAGAGATGACAAAGCCATGGCCAGCTATTACATTTTCTTTCAAATATTACTTTGGGCCAAAGACAATCAATGAATTATTGATCAGAGGTACTGGAAATAAGGCCCCACGCTCAAGTATACAATTAAACTTTATTACTTCTTCTATTAAATGAAAATCACAGAGCTATATTTGGTCTTTTAAAACTCTCATTATACACAATGGCACAGAAGAAGCAATAAAGCACAATTATTTTTGAAATATCTTTAAGGTATTATTGCCAAAGGTCTATAATGGGATTTTCAGCCTCTTTTATTTTACAGTTTTGCCCATATTTTGTTTACTGGAAAAAAAGTGTGAAGTGCAAAGATGACCTCAAGGGAGAGGCAGACAGTCTGTCTCAATCAGCTTGAACGTGTAGACTCGGCTTAGATCAATACGTTAATTAAAGAAACAAAGAGGGAAATGCTTAGCTACTCAGTAGTGAGTGCCTGTTTTAGAATACTTTAAAGATAAGAAATGTTTAAGGAAAAATAAATGCTACCTTTTCCCTTATAATATCATCAGGGATACAGGTGTTATTCACACATCCACACATTATCAGCAAAATCAAAGAGAACCCCAAATAGCTCCGCCTCTCGAGGAGCATGCTTCTATATAATCACTTTTATCACACTGAAAATACCATTTGACATAACAGAATACAGTTCAAGTGCTCACAATTAACATACACCATGCTTAGACAAATACAAGCGGTGTGTATCCCAATTCTTTAAAAGATACTACAGGTATAGAGCATCTTGAAATAGGTTCACACTTTACCTTTCTAAATGTGTATGTATATACTAATAAATATGACTTGTGTTAAAATAAAAAAATGAACAGTCTAACTGTAGATCATAAATCACAGATATAATATTTCAATATAATTTTCAACAATATTCAAGTTGTCAGAGTTCAATACCTTACAGCTTTGTCCTGACTATCTGAATTTTAGGCATGGCCAAATAGTTAATTACATTCAGAAGTGGATTTTAAACAGAATTAAATATCTGGCCTGTAAAGAACACGCTAAGAGATTCTACAGGTATTGTATTGCAATCAATGATTTCCTAGTGGCAGCAAAATATTTAATTCATGGTAGTTTTCGCAGCTTTACATAACGGTACATAAACTATCACTACTGATTTTCTCAAGCTGTGGTGTCACCAGAAATAAAATATGAATGAAGAATCCACTGGAAAATTTCTAAGTTTCCTCTTTGCAGTTGTTAGGACATACACAAATGATTTGGAAGCTACCACCAAGGGACTACAATACTCAGGATTCATTGTTCTAGATGTTAATAACGAAATTATTTCACTTTTAGGCGTTTGAAAAATTCTCTTTGGAAATAAAGGCATGTAATCTCTAAGTTTCTCAAATTCTGCTTTTGTCATAATGGCTACAAACATTGATGCAATCATTCCCTAAACTTAGTATCATATACATGTTTGCCATCAAGACTGACCAAACATTGTTTCACATGCGCCCACACACACATACTCACTCATAAAAATCATTCAAAAAAAGCACAGTGCCTTAAATTTATCACGTTAGGTCACTTCCCTCTATCGGCACTCTAAGTGCTTTCAATGTTTCTCTAGTGTGGACTTCATCGTACTCAATGGCACCATGCCTGTATTCGTAAGCCACAAACAGCACAGTAAAGGACTCTGTCTATATTATCAGCAGGTTCTAAGATCTAGCCTAAGAATTAACGATACCAACCTCGATTATTACCTGTTATTCTGAAAAGACATACTTCAGTTTGAATTTAAAATTTATCTTTTGCCTCGACAATATTTTTTAAATATTGCCAAATATTTTTTTAAAGATTTATTTATTTCTATTTTTGTTAGAAAGTCAGATATACAGAGAGAAGGAGAGACAGAGAGGAAGATCTTCTCTGAATTGATTCACTCCCCAAGTGGCCACAGGGCTGAAACTGTGCCTATCTGAAGCCAGGAGCCCAGAGCCTCTTCCACATGAGTGTAGGGTCTCAAGGCCATCTTTGACTACTTTCCCGAGCCACAGGCCGGGAGCTGAATGGGAAGCAGGCCTGCCAGGATTAGAACTGGCCCCCATATGGGATTCTGGTGCATGCAAGATGAAGACTTTAGTTACTAGGCTACCATGCCAGACCCACCAAATAATTTTCTTACATGTTCTTACTAATAGCTGAAAACATATAATTCTTCAGAATAGATGTATATTCATAAATTATCTCTTAAGTTCCAGATGATCAAGATCATGTTCCCTGACTTTTAACTTACTCCTTTATGTGGTAGCATGAGTCATCACTCACAAAGCTTTCAGTCTTAGCATTGATTATTTAATTAAAGATGCCAACGAGTCTGCTAATACCATAAGAAATCAATTTTAAACATTATCACTAAGATATTGAAAAATTATTAACTCTCTCTTCCTTCATGCATACAAACTAAGCAACATTCTTCTTTGTTTTGTGTGTTTTGTATTGTGTTCTTTTTGTGCAGAAAGAGCTTCTGCTCGATTCTTTCAGAAACAGAGCTCCTGTCATTCATCAGATCTTAATTTAACCATCCACTCTTAGAATACGATTCCTCAGGTACCATCTGGGTTTGTGTGTTTCCTTTAGCAGATGGCACCACTTGTTTATTGCTTCTAAACTGATTTTTACTTAGTAAAACTCACTGCTGCTTTTGAGATTCAGTCCCAGTTCCCTGTGAAGCATATGTATTTTAGAAATACTTATTTAGTTATATAAAAAAGTTATTGTTGGGGCTGGTGTTATGGATTATCAGGTCAAGCCACCACTTGTAACACTAGCATACTGTATGGGTGCCTGATTGAGTCCCTTTTCTATTTCCAATCCAGCTCCCTGCTGATGAGCCTCAAAAAGCAGTGGACCATGGCCCAACTGCTACAGCTTATGCATACACATGAGAGACCTGGAGAAATTTCCTGGCTCCTGGCTTTGACCTGGTCAAGCCTGGTCATTGCAACCATTTGGTAAGTGGTCCAGGGGATGGAGACATACATGTCTCTCTCATCTTTCTCTATGTCTCTCCATCTGCAATTCTTTCAAGTAAATGATTCTTTAAAATGAACAAACACACTTTAAAAAGTAACTGTCTTGCCAATTTATTGATTACTTTCCCAACTGCAAGATAAAATCTAAGAGAGCAAGAAAGCAAGAACTTGGACTTTAAAATATACTTTTTTAAAGTTGTATTTATTTGTTTGAAAGGTAAAATTATAGAAAGCAAGCAAGAAATACGCACAGAGACAGAGTCCACTCGATGGCTCATTGTCCAAATGAGGCTGGGAACAGCAGAGGCTGTGATATGCTGCAACCAGTAGATTTTCTTATGTTCTTCCAAATGGATGGTGGGGCATAAGTACTTGGGTTATCATCTGCTGCTTTTCCAGGCACATAAGCAGTGAGCCGTGTTGAAACCGGAGCATCTGGGACTACAACCTGTGCTCATACGGTATGCCAGTGCTGTCGGCAGTGCCACAGTGCTGGCTCCACTTGTCCTGTGCATCAATTTACATCCAGCTCCAAACATGTATTTGTTGATAAGTATATTACAACACAGCAATCTTCCTAACCGATGTTGCCAAACTATAAATTTCATTCTTCTTTCAGCTCTTTGAATATTATCAGAAAGACTGTATTTGTATCATTGTTTCTCAGCTTCTTTCTACTCATCAAGATGAATCAAACCTTAAGATTCAGCTCCACTTTCATCTTCTGCATAAGGCCACCCTTGCCTATGCATGTGCTCCCCTTTCATCAATCCTGATGAAAATGTGTAGTGCTGTGTTATCTGTATGCTCTGTCTACCAAATGTCCATCACTAAGGCTAATTCTCACTTTTCTCTTTGTATCTGTGACAGTATAGTTCTTGATCAGTTGCAGCAGTAAAAGATGCTGGCTCATTGCCTGCTACAATACTATTCAAACCAACTCCCTTGAAGTTCTAAAGCCCTTTGGAGCATTCCCAATGCCATTCAAACTGACCATATGCCTTGTGCTAGGCTTGCCAGCAAGTGCACATGGCTGAGCAGTTTTCCAAGCAATTTTAGAGTGTCAAAGGAAGCTGCTACTCAAGAACAGCAGCTGAGCGTTTGGAAGGATAGCCAGGCATAAGAACATCCAGCCTCACTGCTCTGTATTCTAGACACTGTTTTGATAGTAGTTCAAATCTGGGCCTGTAATTACACACGGAATCCAGTGCTGCTTGGATAAGGATTAGGCAGAACTCTTCGGGGCCAGCAGAGTACTGCTGAAGAGCCTTTCTCTCGGCACACATGATGTGAGCTTCCTTTCCTGTTTACTCCAGGCGAGGAGATGTCAAATTCCTGGCACCAAAACCATAGATTCCTGTGAGCTCACAGTCTAAAACTAGGGTTGCACAGACATGCTCAGCTGCACCCTATGTTTATATGCTTACTTGGAAGGGCAGAAAACACTCTCATGTCTCATCTACTCTTTTTGTCTTTAGAGAAACAGTGAAAACATAATCCCTGGTTTCACATCAGTCAAAATATAGTATAGAGAGGTTATCTCAACTCACATATACGTAGGTAAGATAAATTTTCTGTTTCATAACTTTATATTCTATTTTCATTGAATGCTATTTTATATTTGACTAACATACAGGAATGCTAGAAAAATATATGAAAGTGTTGAACACACTGGATAAGAGCGACATTGTTTTGGCTTACATAGTATCTTAAGTGTGTATAAGCTTGGGCTTTTAGCAGATTAATGTATTTTGAAATCCATATCAAAACGTCATCTAGATATATTTTTAAAAATCATGTGACTCTGTACAGTAACTAAGTTCAAGGGTCTTTCTTGTCAACACTCTGAGATGCTGCATAAGGAAAGGCTATCCCAAAGTAGTGGGAGCAGAGATGAGAATGTCAGCAGCGTCACTGAGGTACCACTACAAAGGTC